ACAGAACAGAAACAAACTGTCACATCCACTTCTCCACATCAACAAGCCCAGACTGTTGTTTTAACGCTTAAGTTAAAGGGGGGCTGGGGTTAAAGGATGCCCGGAACATGTAAAAACTAGAACGCCTTGCAGCTGTATGCCTCCACCTACCTATTCACGGGACAGATGTGAGGTTAGAGAGTGTGTGTGTGTGTGTGTGTGTGTGTACCTGGTTGATCTCGTCCACCACTCTGAAGGGGCAGCGGTTGAGCTCCTGCAGGGCCATGAGGTAAAGCATGGTGGAAACGCTTCGCTCTCCTCCACTCTGGTGATATGCTGTCAACTCATGGAGCTGAGTGCTGCTGTGAAACTTCACCCGAATTCGGATCCCGTACTTGTCATACTCTTCCTACATTGGACGGACAGCAGTCATTTAACATGGTAATTATTAAAAATCTTATCATCTGATATCAAAACAATGACAAGATCTTTACCAGGTTTTTGGATCATTTATTGCCTAAATTAAAGTCCTCAAGTGTCACTTTTGAGCCATACAATTTATATTTCAAACATTCTACCAATGTTCCTATTCCTACAAGCTCCTGCAAAAGGGAAAAAAAGGTTTTACAACAACCAAATCCACAGAAAATACAAACCTACATAAACTCCAAGTTCAGTTCTGTCGTCAGTTCAGTGAGAAAAAGAAAACAACCAATAAAATCACCCTTGTACCCAGAGATGTCTGATTGGGAGTGTGTGTTTTTACTTGTGTGCTTGCATTCACCTCATTCTCTGAGTGCAGATCAACCTCTCCTGCACACTGCATGGAGCGGAAGAAATCACTGAACTTGACATTGATCTGCTCAACCAGCTGCTTCAGAGGGTTCAGCCAGCGTTCCTTAGCCTGTGACACACACACAGTAGTCACTATGCGCAGGATGTCCATATGTGTCGTAGCAGAAAAGACAGACTGATCCATTATTCTTAAAAAATTTCTGGGAGAACTGCTGCTGTAAAATAGTCCCACACCTCTGACATGTTCTGTCGGTACGTGTTCAGGGCGTTGTTCTTCGCTTCCAGCTCCTTCTCCAAATTTTTGATCTCCTGCTCTCTCCTGTTGTACTCGACAACAACCTTCACAGCAGAGAGATTTAACATAGAAACATTTACACTTGCACTAAGAAATCTGGATCATTTTCTCTGAAAGATTAAAAAAAATAATTAAGAACAAAATCGGGTGGCCTGCCTAAGTCAAGTCTATGTGTGGGGAAACACTGGATTTCTTATTGCAAATTAAACTCCAATTCTCCAGTGCTCTTCTTACATTTTCATTGAGGCCAGTGAAGCACTCAGCTCTGGACCGCTCCTCATTCAGCATGGCATCAATCTCATCCAGCGTGTCAGGAAGCTTGCTGAAAGCCTGCATTAACAAAAAACAAACATTTTAGCTAGGTGCTTTCGGACCAAATGGTTCTGGGGACTTGGTTCTATAGATTACCCCGCTGGGGAGCACCCACAGAAAATACACACCTTTGCAGGCCTTTTTCAGTTTGCATTCCCAAGGGAACGCTGAAGTGACGTAACACTAATCCGGCCGAGTGTTAGCAATTAACCAACAAGCTCACAACAGTTAACACACAGTGATACCACAATGCTGGTAAGTATTTTCTTTATATGTTGCCAATATTAATTATATAAGGAGCCACAAGCCCTCTGCTTACGTTGGCAGACTGCAGCTCCACATACCGCTGCTGATGGCTATTGATCGTTATACATGGCTAACAGTACAGAGTACCTACCCTGAGTTAGGACCTGAAAAAAAGTCCCTCGGAATGGCATTCTAAGAACTATAATGGTTCTCTGTTCCTCCAGTGAGGACACACATAAAGGGGGTACTTTTTCCAATAGTTCTAACAACTATGAAAAAGTTCATACAGTCTGAAAGTGCCTAATATCTCATGTTTAAAAGGGCTCCACAGCAGTGATAAGATCGCATGAAAAGGATGAAATTCTGTACAAAGTGGCACAGAAGAAGAGGCTTGTTTCATTCAGTGCTATAATGAACACTGATAACCACTCACAGTTTGCAGGCCTTCGGGTAATGGCTCATCAGACTGAATCCGACAGATCGACTTTGCGCTCTTCATCAGTTCTTTGCATTTTTCTGTCAGCTGGGTCTTTCTCTGCTCTAGACAGCTCAATTTTTTCTGCAATAACACAGAGAGGTAATATAAACCTGTGATTTATAGCAAGGAGTATGTCATGTAATACAGGAGTTAAAGTGAAGGACATTTCAGCAGGGTGCATGCTTGCTGGCTAGGGGTTTTGATTCCTGAGCCTCTAAGTGAGCAACATACTATCAGAACTTTCCTTCCTCCATGAGGTTGTAAATATCTGAAAATGTGTGTGTGTATAACACTTACATCAAAGATCTTAAGTCCAGAGGCGCCTTCTCTACAATCATTCTCCAGCTTTGTCTTCTCCGCAATCAGCCCCACAGTGTCCAAAGCCAGGTACACCTTCTCCATAGTCAGCTTGGCTCTCAGCTGCAGATGGATGAAAAGACAATAAAATGGAGGCCACAGAATGGAGGAAAAGGATCCAACAATTAAAGCCAAAAAAGGGCAGAGGTGACCATGACAGACTTACACTTTTATAGCAAGACAGGGAAAAAAGTTTTAGCATTGAAAACAAAATCAACAGTCATGATGACAAAAATGATCTTTCTTCAATTTTATAACAAATGAAAACACAGAGGGGAAGTAGATGCAGAGACAAAGAAAAGTACCAACGCTGAAGCAATCAATAAAAAAAAGAGAGACGACAGGCCAGTATTCAAATTTTGAACGTCATCTAACCACAGCTATTAAATGCAAAGCAGGTATATACAGGTTCTTTATCAGTACCTTCATTTGCGTCATGAGTCCGGTGACTATGAGCACCTTCTGAGAATTGACAGCTGCAACTTTCTCTTGTGTCTCTTCTTCAAGCTTCTTCAGGTTAATAACACTCTGCTCCATCTGCTTCAAACTAAAGACATGGAGTTAGACCAACACTTAACCATACTTATACAACTTTACAGCGACGATGTACCATAACTTCCGGACTATTGTCTATAAGCCGCAGGTGTACACAGAAAGATTTTTTTAACTTTTAATTAAATAAATGCTTTTTCCAAACAGTGCCTGTAACACGGCTGGTTAAAAAAAAAAAAAAAAAATACAGTAGCCTACCAGAAAAGTCACTGATCACTATCTTCATCTTCCTCCTGTGCACTAAAACCACTAAAGCTCTATTTCCTTCTTCGACAGCCAGATCGATCACCTTTAACTTGAAAGCTCCATCATATGCATTTCTTTGTGTGTTTTCCATGATGAGGGTGTGTGTATGAAGCGCAAAATGACTGATCTGAAGAATTTAGTGAGTGTATTTGATTTAATTCGAACAGTTTCATTGGTCCACTGTGATCTGTTCAGTAATTTCATTGGTCTGATGTGACGAGGCTAAATGTATTGGCGACATGAAGCTCGTTAGCCAGTAAAAATCCATAAATTAGCTGCATCATTGTTTAAGCCCCAGGGTTCAAAGCGTGTGAAAAAAGGAGCGGCTTATAGTCCGGAAATTACGGTAGTAATTATGGATGTAAATGTATGGCACGATAACTACATGTAGTAGTCTGACATTTTAAAGCAGCCTTACCTGTCCTGCTTGGTGCTGATTTTCTGCTCCAGTTGTCTTTTTTTGCCCTTTAGTTCAAACAGGCGTTTCTTTTCTGCCAACAGTTCATTGTCACGTCGTCCCAGGGCTGCGGTTTCCTTCTGCAGAGCCTTCATCCGCTCATCTATGGCATTTAACTTCGACTCACAGGCCTGGTCGCAGTGGAAGATAATGGTTAAACTCTCGCCTCAGTTAACTTCAAACAAACTAACATCCAAGATGTCTCGAGCTGTTGTACATTCATAGATTACCAAATACCAGACTTGTAAAATGTCATGTTTCAATAAAAGAGTTGGAGCTTTACTTCCACATTTGGTCCTTTGTCTCCCCCTCACCTTTATCTTCTCTTCCAGTTCCCGCTTTTCCTCAGCATCCACAGTGATGTTGAGAAACTGAGAAGGGCGCACTGCAGAGTTACTGGTGCTAATCTTGTTTGAGTAATGTGACCTCTTCAATGTGTACCTCTCGTCTACTGTGTACAACACTCTGAGGTAGGGCTCCTCGATGACCTGTAAGAAAGAAAATGGACAGAAAGGTAGGTCAGCAGATATGAACATAATGAATAATCTAAAACACACATAACACAAGTACTCCTAGTATGTTGTCGTGAACTATCTAAATTACAATGGTTCAGCTGGAAATATCAGGAGAAACATGTACATCTGTCAGATGGATGGTGGCTTTTTATAGACCTCACCACATATCAAGTCTTAACCTACACAGTTTCTCTTGATATCCAATTTATTTGAACAAAGAGGCAGAATTCTAAATGACATTCACTTCCTTGTTTATCTGGTGTTGTGTTCTGTGAGCTTGAATAATGTGGGAAGAGCAACCAACCGTTTTAATCATGGCTTTGGTTTTATCAGTGCCGACAGGCACATCATGCACCCGGTACTGATGACAGAGGTAACTCATCACTTCATCAGGGGCATCAAACAGCTCACGTAGGTAGGTGAAGAAGCCAAAACGCCTGCAAATAAAAAGTAAGAACATTAAAAATAAGAAAGTACATGTAAAAAAACAAAAGCCACATTTAAATTAATACACATACACAAAAAATTAAGTTCATATTGATGTTATAATTATTACACCACAAACAAAACTTATTTTCTCTCACCTCAAGGACTCAATATGTCGGGATGGTGGTTTTTTAGACCACGAGTCCTCCGGAGCAGAAATGCAGTTCACCTTCAAGTTCATTCTGTCACGGACCTGAGGGTAAGGACAAGTCAGACTAACTTGGGAAGGTAAAAAACAAATGGACTTTCCATACAAAGTATGGGTTTGTCTGACATTAGACCCAACTACAATTTGCATTCAGAAAGATTTCATCCTCCACCTGTAATCAATATCAACAGTCATACTCTGCAGGCTCCTGACCTCAGTCATGAACTTCTCCATGTCATCTTTTCTCTGGAACACGAACGCCCGCAGGTCATGGAATGGGATGTGCATCTCTACGTACTTGGCAAAACGATGATCTCTCATATTAATCTAATGTATTAAGAAAGACTTAGTATTAGGACTCCACAGTAGAAGCAAAAAGTATCACCATCACAATACAGACTGCCGTCCTATACAAGTCAACAAAGCCTCCATCCATCCTGATATATGGGGAAGTACCCTTTACTTCAACTAATAACCGTCCCTGGTAGGCCAGTGGTTAAGGTGCAACGCTCTCGCCGCAGCGGCCCGGGTTCAAGTCTACATTTAGCATTTATAAGCACTGTATAAACATTCAATAAATTGTTTACAACACTAATATAGTTACATGCAGACATTTAAGTGGTTTTAATGTACAGTATTTTTTAAGACATATTCCATATTATTACAACTATTTCACAATTTTTTTTTTACATTATCTCATTATACACCAGTCTCCACTCCTGGGTGCCCACAAAAGGAGTCATAGTTGAAAAAAACATGAATGAACACTTTAACAGTGTTGTGAACTGGTTATAGAAAGTTTATACACTGCATATAAATGTTAGTGTAAAAGTGAAGCAATACAAGGTCCACTGAGACTCACCATGAGCATCATGGGCTCATGGACATTCCCTTGAAACAGGTTCCTGTTCTGTCTCAGCCACTGGAGGGCGCTGTATGTATCCCTGTGGCATCCTCGTAACTTCTCCTGTTTGGCATTCATCATGTTGTTCATGTCATTGAGCTTCTTCTCCAACACTGGCAATAAAAATAAAAATGATCAGGATGAAACACACATACTGTCCTTAGCTGACACTGAGCTATAGCACCTGTCTAAGCAGGATTATAACATTAAAGAGTCCATGGCATGCTCATTTTGCTTGTTTCCAGCCATTTAATGTTTAATCTTGGATACCTCTAGATTAGCTTGGCAGCCCGCATAAGTCCAAATAGTCTGCAATTATTTCAGAACAATAAAACCCAAGAGCCTCTTCCTAAAAACAAGAGGACAGTTCGTGAACGTGCACACCTCCTGCTGCCGAGTTTGTCAAAAGTGGATCGCACAACGAACTATAACGGCATCAATTAATTTGAATTTCTCCTCCATAGACACAAGTATTGATGAAAAGAGATGTAACACTCTAAACAAAGCAGGTATTTGAAAAACCCCATATTTTAACCGACATAATGCAGATATAGTAACTTCTCCAGCCTTGCAACAATTCTCTAGAGAAACAAGGCATTAACAGACATGTAATGTGTGTTTTGTTAAACTTACCCTTAAGTCCCACCGAGTAGTGGAAACATCACTCCCTTTCAAGTAGCTGCAAGGTCGGTAAATCCAACCGGTGGTCACTGCGTCTTCCCCCACATGACCTCATACAGTCCCAAAGTAGTGAAATTAATTCCAACAGGTACCTACACCATGGATCATTAATCCTCTCGTAACCGGCAACACATCACATGTGGCAGACACACTGGCCTCAAGCTGTCAAAACAAACAGGTACTGTGCTTTGGGGGAATCCAGCATTAATGAACTGATCATTCACCTCCCCAGGGGGCTTCACTGGCCGGCTGCTTGTAGGTTAGACCCGGTTAGATAAAATAATGAGTCCCTGTACAGGAACATTCCCAGACATGCAGTAACCTCAGGCCCTGTATTTTTCTCCACATTCTCTGGTCACAGTGCAGCAACAGGAGGTAAAATACTGTATATCCACAAAACCAAGCGCAGTTGATAAATTCAACTTTTAAAATGGCACCGGTGGATGTCACGCAAATTCACATGAACGCGCAACTGCCTGGAGATTATGACCAAGGATAAGGATAATCACCTTTATTGGCCAAGTATGTTACACACAAGAAATTTGTTTCCGGTACAGAAACAAGGCAGCCATCTGCGGAGCCAACTCAACCGATGGCTCTAACCATCGGGGGCAACGTGGGGTTCAGTGTCTTGCCCAAGGACACTTCGACATGTGGACTGCAGGCACCGAGATTTGAACCTTAAACCTTCTGGTTGGGAGACGACTGCTCTACCCACCGCACTGTCGCCTCCCTATTCAAGGAAATCCTTAAACTATCATGCGAGACTTTATTTTCTTAGAAAAAAAGTCTCATGAGCGAGAGTTTGTGAGACGTGTATAAACCGAGTTGTTTCTCCATCAAAGTACTAGAACATATGTACACCTCATTTTTTGAGCTTTAGGTCACATCTAAAATTATAATTCACCATTGTAGCATTGTAGATCATTCAGAAAACAAGGAAAAGCATGACATGGGCTCTTCAAATATACGTAATAATTAAATCTTTTCCTACCTAAACCTGTGTAAACACTGTATACCCTAGTTTGCATGAGACTCACTTTTGGACTCAGCGTGGAGGTTGTCCCTCTCCCTGCGTAGGTCGGCCTTCTCTCCCTCAATCTTGGATCTTTCCTCATGGATTTGCCTCAGCTCGGTGGTGACAGCATTGATCTGCGGTGTCACATCTGGTTGGTCGCCAACTTTGGCAAGCTCTGCCTTCAGGCCCTCAATCGTCTGTCTGGTGTTGCTGATTCGCTTCTGGTGGTCTTCCTCCTCCATCCGCTTCAGTCTCAGCCTTTGTTTAATGTCATCAATCTGCAGAGAAGAACAAGAAGGTTTGTCGTCCATTACGAACAATCCACAGCTTGAGCTTCCTCTTTGTTTTACCTCAACACCTCACATACATACAACACTGCAATCACCACTGACTTACAAACTAGAGATTCATTTATTACATTTGTCTTAGCTGAAAATAAAATATTGTTTAATTAGTTTACATTTTGTGTGGCAAACAAAAGATTCTTATTATTTCAATCAAATGACAATCATTAGCATCTTTTAAGTGTGAAAGAAAAGTTAACTGCGTTATGAAGAGAAAAAAAAATACAAAAAGTTGCAAGTCACATAATTACAGTGGCAAAAAGGTTAAGTGATGAGTTATGAGTTAACACCATCTTAATGAATAACACAAAAACATTTTATTTCATTCTTGCACATTTTTCCAAGTTAAGGGTTGTGGATTTTGTTCCTCTTCCTGAGCAAAGACAAAAATTCAGTCTTACCTCTTTGTGTTTTCGATCCAGCTCATCCTGTTTCTGTTTGCACTTCAGAGAGGCTTCTTTGATGGCGGCCGTCTGAAACACATCAACCTCATCTTTACCAAAATGAGCTCACATATCACATTGTAGTATTCATTCTACTGTAAAGAAACATGCTTGAAATCTAGCCACTAATTTATAATGACATCAAACCTACTTTCAAAAGGTCTATCATTCATTTTTATTACTCCTGTTTCACATTCATTCCTCATGCCCAAAATGGCTTTCTAGAAAACCATTCAAGTGCACGTATTATACTCTGAATACCTATTAGTAATTCAGAGTGATCAGTGAGAACTACTGCTGATACAAAACATATTGGAAATTTACATCTAGACAGACTGATAGTAAAAATAAATGTATCACTGCCCATATTTGTTCTTTTAGACCAAATTGTGAATACAAAAATAGTTGCTTTCACACCTTAGTCTTTATTTGTGCCTCAGTGGGCTTCAGCCGGTTCTCAATCTCATGGATCTTCCTCAGCATGGGAGCCTGGGCCTGCTTCAGAGCAGAGAGATGCCTTTTGGCCTCCTCTCGCTCCTTCTTCACACCGTTAAGCTCTTTAAGGGTGGTCTCATACTCCTAGTGTCACAGGGAAACAGAGACAAAGCTAAGACAAGCAATAAATAAATAAATACAAATCTAACAGCCTACTGTGTTTATTTGGCTCTCTTTTCTACACAGCATTTCATTTAGACCACTCACCACCCACGGTTTCTTCTTCTCAAGCAACTCGATTACATCCAGATGCCTCTTCTTTTCATAATAACGGTTCACATCGTGTTTATTCCTCTCATTCCTCTGTTTGGCCTTTTCTAAGAAGCTGGCCTTCTCTTTCACAACACTCTAAAGGGAAGAAAACAACCAACAAACACTGAAAACCCTACAAAACCTTGAGGCAAAGCTGTCATTACATGATTTTAATTTGGAGAAAAGTTAAATAGTCTATGATGTAACTGTGATTTTGTTTTGTTAAAAACTGTACAGTACTGACAGACATACAGTAAAGAAACAACAGATATTCTAACTCCAAGCTAAAAGAAATAAACTTACACAAAGTTAAAAAAAAAAACTCATTATTTCTACATCTTTTGAAAAGTAAATTCATTTTTCAACAAAAATTTGGTATTCAAAACTGTGTTCCCACATCGGTGTGTTAAGGCATTGCCAATGACTGAATGGGAGATAAAGAAGTGATGTGAGTCACAGCTCCCGACCTGCTGTACATGTAGGTATAAGCTTTACATTTACCTCCAGTTCTCGCTCTTTGTTACGGAAGTTTTTGAGCTCACAGTGGTATTCGTACATCTCTGGTGGTCCCACTGACTTCTCAGTTGCCTCCAGCAACTCAATTTTGGACATCTTGGCAAACTCTCCCACTTTTTCCTGAAGGTATAA